TTGTAATTACCTAGTCAGAGGATTTCTGTTGTAGTGTCATAATTAGCTTGAATGCAGATGCCTGAGGAGGGATGCATGTTAGTACCTGCTGTGTTGATGGATGATAAGCATTGTTCAATTTTGCTTTTAAAAGTAAACAGTAGAGGTGGGGTTCTTTATTCGTATTGTATGATTTGTATCTATGATGTTTTCCATGCATTGATATGTGGAAATATTTGATACATTACCCTGAGAGGCACGTAATCACTGTGGTGTTGAGCTGTTAAGCTTCCATTCAGAGCTCATTATGCTAATTCCCATGGAAACAGTGTGTTTGATAACTTGGGAATTACATTTTATAAAACAAACTTCTCAGGTAGCTGTACTTAAGAGGCAACTCACTTTGTCCATACTTGGACAGCAGAGGTATTTTCACTTGTGACTCTTTTCTTCGGCTTTTGTGTAGTGAGACTTAGGAAGCTGGTAGCCACCTTGTGCTTTCAATTGTCTTTATGTTGTGTTACTTTCCAACTGATGTTTTAGCTTCCATAGGAAAGAACCTAGTAATTTCTGCAATATACTAATCCTATAATGACATCTCAAAAATGAATGATCTCTGCTCTTGAAGTTAGTTTTCAGTAATCAAAATGAGGGTCCATAAATACACATCTTAGAAATTCTCTTTTTAAAAATACCAAAAACAGTCAGAGAACTTCGGACACTTGCAGATCTACCACATGGTATAATAAATAGAACATTACTGGTCACTGTGAAACTCTGTCCCTGCCTTGATCGTGTTTACTCCTCCCAGGTGTATAAACATTATTTTGAACTTTGTTTTCTTGCCCTTGTCTTCAGTTTTGTAGCGTGTATCCCTAAAGAACATACTTGTTAGATTTTATTTTTTTGTTGAGGTATAATTCACACGTTCATATGATTTTTAACTGTTTTGTATATATATTTTTTGCCCAGTGTATTGGGGGAAATGTATTCACATTAATCTGTGCATCTATAATGCCTTCATGAGCACTACTTCATATGTCAGAATTTATCTGTTTACAGTTAGTGGACATTTGTTTTTAGTTTATGCTAATATGAACATTGCTAGCATGAACAGTGCTACTCATGTCTTCTGGTGCACATGTGCAAGGATTTCTCTAGTCAAGATGTGTGAGCGTTACCAGCCTTACCAGATGGTGCTGAATTATTTTGTAAATTTGTATCAATTTACAGTCACCAATAGTGTATTAACAACAGCTTGTTGCCCCACATTCTCACCATCACTTGACACTGTTAGACTTATTTTTTTCTAATCCAGATAGTGGAAAGTGCTTTCTCTTTGTGGTTTAAATTGGCATCTTATAAGTAGGTTGGGTATTCTTCATATATTTATGGGCTTTATGTGTTCTCATTGAATTGCACATATACATCTTTTGCCCCTGTTTCTAGTTCTCAAATAACCGCTGGTTTGTTGGGGTTATTCTGGAAACGAATACTTGGCAAAGTATATGCTTTGTAACTGTTATCTCCCTTTTAAAAATTTCTTTTTAAAATACTGTTTTGTGATGAGCAAGCATTTTTATTTCAATATAGCCAAAATTACTAATGTCTTTATGGCTCTTGATTTGTGTGGGATCTGAGAGAGTGAATATGGGTGCCTTGGGTTCAGATTGGGGCAGTAGGAACAATGAAAAGTGGGCAGATTTGGGATATTTTGAAGCTGATGTCTTGCTGATGGTTTGGATAGGAAATATGAGAGGAGGAGAAATCAATGACCTTCAATGTTTTTGGTAAGAACGACTAAAAGAATAGAGTAGACGTTTATGTAGATGGGAACATCTGTAGAGGAGCCAGTTAGGGGTGTGTGGTATAGGTGAAACCAGAACTTGGATATTTATAGTCTGGTTGTGTGTTTTGATCTGAATGGAGATGTTAAATAGGTATTTGGATGTACAACTCCAGATTTAAGGAGAAATATCTGGGCTGGATTTATAGATTTGCGAAGTCTCGTATAAGATAGTATTTGAAACTCGGACTTGAAGAGGTCACCTATGGAATGAACGTAGGGAAGTCTGAGGTCCGAGTTCTGGAAATGCTTTCCACTTAGAAGGAGGATATAAGGATCTAGGATTTAAAGTGTGAGAAGATGAGAGAGTTTGCTTGGTGATAATGGTTTCTGAAAACCAAGTGAACAAATGTCCTCAAGAAGATAAAGAGCTATCCACTGGATTTAGCAATGTGAGGGTCATTGTGAGCTTGAAAAATTTATTTTGTGGAGTTGTGGAGATGAAATCCTAATAAAAGTAGACTACAGAGCACACGGGAGGAGAGAAAAATTACAGATAAGGAATAGTATAGTGTGGACAATTGTTTGAAAGAGTCTTATTTTAAACTGGCACTAACTGGCAGATGTATGATCAATGGAAGACTGACTTAATGATGGGAGATGTCACAAAATGCATGTACTCTAACGGAGACAGTTCAGTAAAAGAATACAAACTGAGGACAGAAGACTATTGCTATAGAGACCTACATGAGAAGGAATGGATGCCAGTAAGTATGTGGAGATGTTGGATCTTAGAAAAGAGGTGGAAATTTTTTGTAGTTCTTAGAATGTTTTGCACTTACTGAGTATATTTAAATATACTGCACTTTTGTTAAATATATTCCTAAGGATTCTTTTTGAAGTTACTATAAAGGAATTACTTTTGGATTGTTCCTTGCAAATATATAGAAATACAGTTAACTTTTATATATTAATCTTGTCCTCTGCATTCTTGCTAAACTAGTTTATTAGTTCTAATAGTATTTTTAGTGGATTCATTAGAATTATCTGTGTATAAGATTGTGTCATCTGCAAGTGAAGATAGTTTACTTTTCTTGGATGCCTTTATTAGATGTTCCTGCATAACTGCCCTGACGAGAACTTCCAGTACTTTTCTTAAAAGTGGCAACAGTGGACATCCTTGTTCCTGATGTTGAAGGGAAAACATTAAGTCATCACACCATTAAGTATGATGTCAGCTGTGGATTTTTTTTGTAGATGCCCTTGATCAGATTGAGCAAGTTCTCTTCTGTTAGTTTGTTGCATGCTTTTTTCATGAAGTGTTGGATATTGTCAGATAATTTTTCTGAGTCTATTGAGATGTTCATGTGTTTCTGTTATTTATTCTATTAATATGGTGTATTACATTGATTTTTTTTTGGGATGTTAAATTAATTTTGCTTTCTTGGGATAAATCCCACTTGGTCATGGTGCACAATACTACTTACGTGTTGCCAAATTTGGTTTGTTATCTTGAAGATTTTTGTGTTTATATCTTTCAGGAGTATTGATCTGTATTTTGGTTTTTTGTGATGTCTCTGGTTTTGGTAATAAAGAGTGAGTTGGGAAGTGTTCCCTCCTATTTTTTTTGAAATGGTGTGAGGAACTGGTATTGAAAAAAATACTTTCATTACAATTAACCAGTGAAGCCATCTGGGCCTGGGCTTTTCTTCGTGGGAAGTTAAAAAATGCCTAATTTTCTTAAAGGTCTATTCAGATTTTCTATCTTTGAATTAGTTTTGGTTGTGTCTTTCTAGAAAAATGTGATTTTATATGTTACCTAATTTGTTAAAATATGCTTGCAGTTTTCTTTCTCCTTATTTCTATAAGGTTAGTGGAAATATCACCACTTTCATTCCTGATATTACTTATTTGAGTCTTATAAACCTTTAGCTAAACTAGAAAAAAAACTGTTTAAACTTTTTCGAAGAACTAACTTTTGGTTTTTCTCTATTCTATTTTCTGCTCTTATGTTTATTATTATGCCTGCATTAGCTTAAGTCTTTCTCTTTATTCAGTATCTTGAGGTGGAAGGTTAGGGTTTTGATTTTGAAAATGTCCTTTTATATATACACAATTACAGCTATAAATCTCTCTTAGGACTGCTTTAACTGCATTCTCCAGTTACTTTACATTGTGTATGTTACTGATCTCAAAGTATCATTTCCATAGTGATTTCTTCTTGGATTCATTTAGTAGTGTGTTGTTCAATTGCTATGTTTTTTTTGTTTGTTTTTTGCTTTTAAAAATTTATTTTGGGCTGCGTTTTGGGTCTTCATTGCTGTACATGGGCTCTCTCTAGTTGAGGCAAGGGGTGGCTACTCTTAGCTGCGGTGTGCGGGCTTCTCATTGCGGTGTGCGGGCTTCTCATTGTGGTGGCCTCTCTTGTGGTGGAGCACGGGCTCTAGGCATGCGGGCTTCAGTAGTTGTGGCCTGTGGGCTCAGTAGTTGTGGCTCGCAGGCTGTAGAGCGCAGGCTCAGTAGTTGTGGTGCACGGGCCTAGTTGACCCGAGGCATGTGGGATCCTCCTGGACCAGGGCTGGAAACCGTGCCCCTTGAATTGGCAGGCGGTTTCTTTTTTTTTTTGTGGTACGCGAGCCTCTCACTGTTGTGGCCTCTCCCGTTGCGGAGCACAGGCTCCGGACGTGCAGGCTCAGCGGCCATGGCTCACGGGCCCAGCTGCTCCGCGGCATGTGGGATCTTCCCGGACCGGGGCACGAACCTGTGTCCCCTGCATCGGCAGGCGGACTCTCAACCACTGCGCCACCAGGAAAGCCCCAATTGCTATGTTCTTAATTCTCACACTTCTTTTTGTTTCTCTAAAACATTTTTTGAGGTATAATTGACATACAACATACTGGATTCAGGTGTACAACATGTTTCAACATTTGTATACGTTGAGAAATTACCACAATAAGTCTGTATCTGTCACCATACATAGTTACAGAATTTCTTCTGAAGAGACTTAAGATCTGTTCTCTCAGCAACTTTCAAATATGCAATATAGTATTAACTATATTACATCCCCATGATGTATTTCATAACTGGAAATTTGTACCTTTTAACTTCCTTCACATATTTTACCCATGTCCCCCATCAAGCTGTTCTCTGTATCTATGAGCTATTTCTGTCTTTTGTTTAAGTTCCAGGTAAGTGGGATCATACAGTATTTGTCTTTCTGATTAATTTCACTTAGCATAATGCCTGTGAGGTCTTCACATGTCCTGAAGATGGCCATTTAGGTTTCCATGTTTTGGCTGTCGTAAATAATGCTGCAGTGAATATGGAGGTGGGTATCTTTGAGTTCGTGTTTTTGTTTGCTTCAGATAAATAACCAGAAGTAGAATCTCTGCGTCATTTTGTAGCTCTATCTTTAACTTTCTGAGGAACCTCCATACTGTTATCCATAGTGGCTGCATCACTGTTTTCTAATTTCACTCTTAAGATCAGAGAACATACTTAGTATGACTTTACTCCTTTAAAATTTATTGTGTCTTATTTTATGGCCAAACATATGGTCTGATCTGGGGAACTCTCCATGTGTACTTGAGGAGAACATAGACTTTTGTTGGTGGAGTATTCAATAGATATGTTAGATATAGTTGGTTTATAGTGCTTTTCAAGTCTTATTTCCATGGTCATCTTCTGCCTAGTTGTTCTACTCATTATTGAAAGTGGGGTGTTGATATCTCCAACTGCTGGATTATTTATTTCTCCTTTAAATCCTACCAATTTTTGCTTCATGTATTTGGGGATCTGTTAGATAAATTTTTATATCTTGTTGAATTGACCTTTTTTAAATTTTAAGATGGGTTTATCTTTAACATTTTTGGAATTTTTCTGGTATAGCTACTCCAGCTTTCTTACAGGTTGCTGTTAGCCTGATACGTATCCTTTTTCATCCTTCTGTATTCAGTATATTTGGATCTTTGAGTCTCACATGTGTGTCTCCTGTAGACAGCATACAGTTGGGTTTTTTTTTTTTTTTTTTTTGCGGTACGCGGGCCTCTCACTGCTGTGGCCTCTCCCGTTGCGGAGCACAGGCTCCGGACGCGCAGGCTCAGCGGCCATGGCTCACGGGCCCAGCCGCTCCGCAGCAATGTGGGATCTTCCCGGACCGGGGCACGAACCCGCGTCCCCTGCATCGGCAGGCGGACTCTCAACCACTGCGCCACCAGGGAAGCCCTACAGTTGGGTTTTTAATCCAATTTGACAATGTGAGTTTGGATTGTTTAATCGACTGAAAGTTAATGTTATTGATATACATTGACCACTTTATTTTTTGTTTCATGTGTGTCTCTTTTCTCATTACTGCTTGCTTTCGTATCAAATGAATATTTTCTATGGAACATTAATTTGTTTATTTTCTCACTTTAACTTTTTATTAGTGGCTACTCTAGGGCTTACAGTATACATCTTAACATAATTCAGATATATGCTAACTAAAATCTAGGGAGGTACAGAAATGTTACTCTTAAATAGGTCTATTCCCTTTTCTGCCTTTTTGTGCTATTAGTGTTAGGTGCATGTATGTTAGAAACCCAATAATCCATTGTTGTTATCACTTCATCTTATTTTACACCAGTTATAGAAGTTGAGAAGAAAGGTGAACTGTATTTATACGGAATGTCATATTAAGTTTTTTGTTTTCCATTTTCAGTTTTCATTTGTTACTGTAGATTCAAGTTATCATCTGTTAGTTTCTTCCTGTGATACACCTTTACTCATCTTTTCCTTGTCACAATATGCTGTTTTTGTCAAATATATATTTCAATATTATAGGTTGATCAATTAACTTATATATTTATTTTATACATTCCTTTTTAAACCTCTTAACATAAGAGAGGAGAAAAAGGCATTTATAACTTTTTAATTTTTTTTAAATGATTCGTGCTCTTTTCATGTGGATTTGAATTATTGTCTAGGGTTGCTTTCTTTGAGCTTAAAGATTTTCAGTGTTCGTAGGGTGAATCGGCTAGCCACAAATTCTGCTTGTTTGCTCAGAATCTTTATTTTGATCTGATGTTTGTAAATGCTCATTTTGCTGGACTTAACCTTTAACAGGTTTTTATTTTGAGCAGTTACCATATCAGCCACTTGCCTTCTGGTTTCCATTGTTTCTGATTAGAATCAGTTGTTAATCTTATTGGTGTTCCCTTGTTAACGATAAAACATTTTTCTTTGGCCGCTTTCAAGTTTTTTTCCTGTGATTTTAGCTTTCGCATTTTTACTCTGATGTGTCTGGATATGAATTTCTTTGTGTATATTGTGCTTTGAGTATACTGAGCTCCTTGAGTGTGCAGATTGCTTTTCTTGGGAAATTTTCATTCATAATTTTTTCTGCTCCTTTCTTGCCTTCGTTTTCCCTCTGGTACTCCTATTACAAAAATGTCTGTAATGATGTCCTACGTTTCTCTGTGAATCTGTTCATTTTTCTTTGTGTAATCTGTTGATCTGACTTTAAGTTCAGTTATTCTCCTGTTCAAATCTATTGTTGAACCCCTCTAGTGAATTTTTCATTTTAGCTATTTTGCAATTCTAAAATTGCTACTCAGTTTTTAAAAATAGGTATTCCTAATATTGATAATACTAATGGTCATCATACTTTATTTCTTTATGCATGATATCCTTTCATTCTTTGAACATATTTATAATACCTGATTTGAAGTCTTACCTGATAAGTGTGTCACTTGGGCCCTCTCACAGGCAGATTCTGTTGCCTGTTTTTTTTTTTTTTTTTTTGCTTTGTATAGATCACACCTTCCTGTTTGGATGCATGTCTTTACATTTTTTGGTTGTTGTTGAAAAGTGCATATTTTGGATAATGTATTTTGTCAGTTCCAGTTACCTCCCCTAGGCTTATTATTTTCTTAGCTACTAAAATAGACCAGCAAAGTCACAGTCTTATTCCTGTACAGGGCAAAACCTCTAAAGTCACTTCAGAGGGAGCAGTTCTAGACAAGTGTTGAGTCACCACGGAATGACAGTTGTTTTAGCAGGGTTCGCTTCATCTGTATTTCCCCGATCTCTGTTATACTGTCTGCCTTTGACGCCCAACTGATAAGCTCCATTCATTGCTCTTTTTTCGGAACAATGCCAAATACATAAAGTACCCTACAGTTTGATCCAAGTAAATTCTGGTCCCTTAGCCAGGGGTAGTTTGTAAAGCTGGTATTGGAGGTTTGCTCTGATTTTGGGGGTGGGTGGGTGGGTGATTCTTGTTAGCTGTCTCTTGTTCTGGTTGTCTCTGGTAAACTAGCTTCCCTATGGTTCAGCTTTTTGTTCTCATGAAGCTCTCACCTTCCTCTTAATTGCTTACCATGATCTCCGTTTCTTTTGAGAGCATGCTTACCCTTAAACTTCCTCACACTTCCAATTAAGCAGGTTCCCTTGGGGAGAGCTTAGTAGCTGTCTCTCCTTAGAGCCTGCCTTTCTCCCTGTGAAAAATCACCGTGCCACTGCTTTGGAGCTATAGTTGGGCGTGTTGTTTGAGTGACACCACTGCTTCGTGAGCAGGGTGCTGCCTGGAGACATTAGACTCATCTTCTTTTTGCCTCTCCTGGCACAGAACCTCCGCCCTGTGTGTGACTGGGCCAAGAGTGATCAGGGCCCCAGTATCCCCTACCTACCATGCCTGGGGTGGGTCTTGTACTCTATTGGGTGGAGGCTATGTGGGTGAAGGGAGTCTACAACCTCTTGGCCATACTTGCTGGTAACTGAGCCTCTGTGACATGGAATTGAGTGGGATGGGAAATGCTGGCACTCCGCCCCTCCCACTGGGAGCTGGTGGGAGAGGGAACCCTTTCTTTTTGGCCATACCTACTCTGAGTGGAACTAAAGTCACATTGAGCTGGAATGAAGGAAAAAAACAGATGATGGTTCCAGTACCACAGACTCTGTTCTCTCCAAGGTTTAAGAGATATTTTTAAATGTTAATTTATTGAATGCCCTTAGGACAATTTTCAAAGGCTTTAAATGGTTGTTTTTTTAAAAATGCTTTTCTCTAGTTGCAGAGAGTCTGCGCAGCTCTTCATGGAGACATTTTGTATGTCTCATGTTCTTCTAAATTTTTATGTCATTGTCTGGCATAGAATTAACCGTAAGTAGTTAATTATAAGTAATAGAACTATATTTTTTTCCTTAAAAAGCACTATGACGTATGTGCATGTGTGTTCCTTTCCTGTCTTCTAACCTCTGCTGATAGGTGCTAGGCTTGACAAGTCAGGCTTGCTCTTTTTTTTTTTAATTGGAGTATAGTTGATTTACAATGTTGTGTTAGTTTCAGGTGTACACCAAAGTGAATCAGTTATACATATACATATATCCACTCTTTTTTAGATTCTTTTCCCATATTGGCCATTACAGAGTACTGAGTATTGAGTAGAGTTCCCTGTGCTCTACAGTAGGTCCTTACTAGTTATCTATTTTATATACAGTAGTGTGTATATGTTAATCCCAACCTCCCAGTTTATCCCTCCCCCCTGGTAACCATAGGTTTGTTTTCTACATCTGTAACTCTATTTCTGTTTTGTAGATAAGTTCACTTGTACCCTTATTTTTAGATTCCCACATATAAGTGATACCATCTGATATTTGTCTTTCTCTGTCTGACTTAACTTCACTCAGTATGACAGTCTCTGGGTCCATCCATGTTGCTGCAAATGGCATTATTTCATTCTTTGTTATGGCTGAGTAATATTCCATTGTATATATGTGCCACATCTTATTTATCCATTCCTCTGTTGATGGACATTTAGGTTGCTTCCATGTTCTGGCTATTGTAAATAGTGCTACAATGAACATTGGGGTACATGTATCTTTTTGAATTATCGTTTTCTCTGGATATATGCCCAGGAGTGGGATTGCTGGATCACCTAATCAATGACAAAGGAGGCAAGGAGGTACAATGGAGAAAAGACAGTCTCTTCAATAAGTGGTGCTGGGAAAACTGGACAGCTACATGTAAAAGAATGAAATTTGAACACTCCTTAACACCATACACAAAAATAAATTCAAAATGGATTAAAGACCTAAATGTAAGGCCAGCAACTGTAAAACTTTTTGAGGAAAACATAGGCAGAACACTCTGTGACCTAAATCACAGCAAGATCCTTTTTGACCCACCCCCTAGAGAAATGGAAATAAAAACAAAAATAAACAAATGGGACCTAATGAAATTTAAAAGCTTTTGCACAGCAAAGGAAACCATAAATAAGACGAAAAGACAACCCTCAAAATGGGAGAAAATATTTGCAAATGAAGCAACTGACAAAGGATTAATCTCCAAAATATACAACTCATGCAGCTCAATATCAAAAAATCAAATAGACATTTCTCCAAAAAAGACATACAGGTGGCCAAAAGGAACATGAAAAACGCTCAACGTTACTAATCATTAGAGAAATGCAAATAAAAACTATAATGAGGTATCACCTCACACTGGTCAGAATGGCCATCATCAAAAAATCTACAAACAGGGCTTCCCTGGTGGTGCAGTCGTTAAGAATCTGCCTGCCAATGCGGGGGACACGGGTTCCTGCCCCGGTCTGGGAAGATCCCACATGCCGTGGAGCGGCTACGCCTGTGAGCCATGGATGCTGAGCCTGCGCGTCTGGAGCCTCTGCTCCGCAACGGGAGAGGCCGCAACAGTGAGAGGCCCGCGTACCCCCCCCCCACCAAAAAAACCAAAAACAAACCTACAAACAATAATGCTGGAGTGGGTGCGGAGAAAAGGGAACCCTCCTGCACTGTTGGTGGGAATGTAAACTGGTATAGCCACTATGGAGAACAGTATGGGGGTTCCTTAAACAACTAAAACTAGAACTACCATACGGGCTTGCTCTTTATCTACCTTTCACCTACTTGGACTTCACTCCTTCCCTATCACCCCTGGCTGTCTCTTCACTTTTGCTATTATGCCTAGGCTCCAAATCTCTGCTTGAGTCACTGGAAATGGCCACACAATTTGTACAGCCTGCTTGGCTCTCACGTTAGCTTTGATTTTCAACCAGTCCCTTGGCTTTTGTAAACTAGTTTATGGACTGTCCTTCTCAGATGTTGGTCTCCTTGAGACCAAATTTGTTCTTAGGTATTAATGTTATATGCTGCAATTACATGAAAGATAGGACATATTATAGTCAATATAAGACAGCTGGGTTAAGGCCTACCCTAGGAAGTTTAAGGCTACTTCACCAAGGTAGCTGTCTGGTAATGACCTTCAAGACTGTATTCCAGTGAAACTTATTAAAGGTAAAGGGAAAAGCTGTCAGGTAAGGTGTCTTTTTAAAGTTTAGATGCATCTATTAATGAGACAGAGCTTTCATAGGAGCAATTGAAATCAATGGATATTAGCCTCTGGGAGCGTTGCATTGATGCTATATTTGAATGGAGCTGTTTTTTTGCAGGAGTTAGAGCAAGACATATATTCATTGTCACTTGGCTGGTGTCTGAGCTCATTTTGGGGATCTTAGGGAATATGTCTTGTTCCTTAATGATGTGTAAATTAAATACTTGAAGGCACACTAACAAGTAAATATTCACGTATAATCTGTTTCAGTTCTTTGACAGTAGTCTCCTTCCCATCTTCAGGGAACACTCAATTGTACCTTAGCATCCTTTTTTCGTATTTGACTTCAGTGGCCTGTGATGAAGAGGATTTTGGATCCATAATGAAAAATTATTTCTGTCTCTAATATATGGAACTGTAGTGGTATGAGATTGGTTTTTGACTGGAAATGATTTGATTTATGAACGAAATTAAGACTTGTTTAAGTATGTTCTTGAGGTAGCTTGTTGAAGGTGTAAGATCTGTTTCAAAACAAAGATACCGAGTTCAGAATTTGACTTTCAGATGTTTTCTAAGTGAAATACCTGTGTCATTTGCCTCTCTGTTTATGCTTTAGGCTGCAGGAGCAATCCGACCTCTTGTATCTACTGTCATCAGTCCATCTGTAGATGGCTGTTTAGACCACTCACTGGAACGTGCGAGACACAGGGCAAGTGAAATGCCACAGGCCTTTCTATTTGATGTGATCTATGAAGCATATCAGCAGGTAAGAATCTTCGCTTTTTGACAATCTGCTGTGTTGAGGGTCTCTAAGAACCACCCCCATATTTGGAGATTAGCTAGAAGAACTCAAGGAACTGAGTACGTAGTTGGACTCAAGGCTAAAATTGATTAGAGTGAAGTTGGATGATAAGACAAAAAGACCCAGGCAGAGTCTGGAGGAATCCATGTGTAATCTTCCTCATGATCTGTCTCCTTCAGTGTCGCACAAAGTACGCCTTCCGTCCAGCAGTGAGAAGGCAGCAGTTTGGGTGTGATGTTTCTTTTCAGGGAAGCCCATTAGAGATTTGATGTCTAAGGTATTGTGTTGGTCACATAGATACCCTCTGCCTTGCACACAAACTTCAGACTTCCAGGAGAAAAGCCGGTGTTCAACATAAAGCATATTGTAAACCATATTGTTTATGTGAACATCTAGGCACAGTGAGCCACTCTTACCAGTTAACTGTTCACTGGAAACACTCCAAGAGCCAAGTTCCCAGACACTGGCCGAGGGCCCACCTGGTGAGCAGGTCTACTGCTCAGGCCTGCAATCTCAGGCCTAATGTAGTAAACATTTTGCACAGCTGTATAGATATTTTGTTAAAATTTTAAAGGTAAGTGATTTCAAAATATCAAATCATTCATGTTTAGATTATACTGGATTGTCTTTGTTTTCATGTTTTGGAAACATTTTTGTACCTGTAAATTTTACTGCTATTCATTTCTGTGTTTATTTATTAAACAGTTATTAAATATCAGGTATTGTGCTTGTCAGAAACTTCCCAATGAAATAAGATCACTTACAACAACTAAGGCAGTGCTTGGCTGATGTTAGACAATCAGTAAATAGAGATAGATGGACTTTAAAGAATATGAGATAATGGTAACATAAATATTGACATTTTATAATAAAAGAATACCGCATTTTGGATAGAAAGTTAATCACAATGAATCAATCTTGACTATCAGTTACTGTTTTAAATATTGAGAATGTAAATCGTAATCAGTTTTCATGGTATGAATAGTCGTCAGTGGTTTGTTTTGTTTTCTTAAAACTCGTTATACAGGAATTTACCTGTATTTGATCATTAATCAAATATTCCCCTATCGATAATCCTATAAAGCCTAAATCTTGCTAAATCTTTCTAATATTTTTTAAGATTAATGAAAGAATTTGTTCATCTTTATATAAGCATTTACATTAAGAATAATAAATATGATAGCTCTGTCTTAGAAAATTTAATATAACCTTATGATCCTCACACTAGAGTAGCATATTTCAACGGTTTTTAGTAGAGAACTAAGCCCTAATACACTGAGGCAATAGTTCTCAAATTATGGTTCCCAGACCAGCAGCATAAGCATGTTTTGGAACTTGTTAAAATGCAAATTCTGCGTCTCCACCTCAGACTTAGTTACTTAGAAACTCTGGGAATAAGGCCCATCCATTTGTGTCTTAACAAGCAAGCTGGCCACGTGATCTTGACTGACACTGAATTTGGGGAACCAACACCCTAAGGTATCCGTTGTATGTGATAAATTCTCTTCTGTTGTGTTCTTGGGAGAATGAGAACGTAGTCACACAAAAATAACTGTTCTGTGGTTCAGATGAGGAATTCTCAAGCCATTTTGGAGGTTTTGATACAAGTTCTTATGAAAATTATTTTTGATCATAAAGGCGTTCATAAGGAAATTTGTGTAAAAGATGTCTCTCATCTATATGATTTGTGTATATATATGTTTGCTTTTAACGAATAGAGAAGAGTAAGATATGACAGAGTTCCAAGGGTGGGAAGTTGTTCTCTATAGAGTGGTCAGAAGTACTCTGTGAAAAGGTAAAGTTTTAAACCAACATCGGGAAGTAATTGAGGCGATAAGTCATGCAGGTAACTGACAGAACATTATTTTACGCACAGGACGCAGAATCTAAGAAGGTGGAGCAAGGCTGGAAGAGAATGACATCATGGGGGGAAGTAGGAGGTGTACCTGGGTCCAGTATCTTGTTGAGCCTTAAAGGCGATGTTATGGGCTTTAGATTTCACCCTGAATGAGAAGGGAAGACTTTGGATGGTGCTGTGTGAAACCTCACTTCTATGGGGTCACCTGTCAGTTGTGGGGATGGTACCTTACAGAAGGTAAGGGAAAGAAGTAAGCTATAGTGATGATCAAGGCAAAGATGATGACAATTAGGGCAATTTGGATAGTAGAGTATTTGGTGTGAAGTGTTTGTTCTGAATATATTTAAAAATAAAATGAGGATAAGCCAATTGGTCACGTATGGGATATCAGAATGGGAAGAATCATGGGTCCAAGAATTTGCTCTGAATAACTAGAATGTAGTTGCCCCCCTTTTTTTTTTATTTATTTTTTTTGGAGTATAGTTGCTTTAAAATGTTGTGTTTCTACTGTACAGCAAAATGAATCAGCTATAAGTATACATATATCCCCTCTTTTTTGGATTTTCTTCCCATTTAGGTCACCACAGAGCATTAAGTAGAGTTCCCTATGCTATACAGTAGGTACTTATTAGTTATCTATTTTATACATAGTATCAATAGTGTATGTATGTCAATTCCAATCTCCCAATTGCAGTTGCCCTTTATTGGGATGGAGAATGCGAGAGGAAGAGATGGTTTTGTGTGATCAGATCAAAAGTTTCGTTCTGAGAGACTAAGTTTGAGATTTCCTTTAGACATACTCAACTGTATCCCTTAACCTTTTTGACTATATGGAACTAGAATTCTGTGGAAAGATCCAGATAATGATAGGCACTTGAGAATTGCCATCATGCAAGGCATTTAATGCCTTGGAGTTAACTGACCTAACTAGAAAAACAGGTACAGAGAAAGTAAGAGCTACAAAGGCTGAACCCTGGGGCAAAGATTGAGTTTGTGAAGATGTATTAGTTTCCTATTACTGTTGAAACAAATTACCACAGACTTACAGAATTAAAAAGAAAATACTTTAAAATTCTAGAGATCAGAAATCTAAAATCAAGGTGGTAGGGCTGTGTTTCTTGAGACTACAGGGGAGACTATCTCCTTGACTGTTCCAGTTCCTAGAGGCCACCTGCATTCCTTGGCTTCTGGCCTATCCCTCATACCATTACAAGCTCTTGATTTCAATGTCACATCTAATCCTAGTGATGACATCAGACCCATCTAGATAGTCCCAGATAATCTCCCCATCTCAAAATCTCTTATCTTCAAAGTGCCTTTGCCATCTAAACGACTTATTCAGATTCTGGGCATTAGGACATGGATATCTTGGGAAGGGGCATTATTCAGAAGAGGAGTGGCCAAAGAGTAAGAGGGTAATATCCCAGAAGCCTAGTGAAGAAAGGGGCTCAAGAGTGATTGAGCAGTTGTTAAATGCTGCATAGTGGTTTAAAAAAAGGATCGAGAACTGACCATAATAAGCCTTAGCAGTGTGAGATCGCCAGTGTCGGGGTGGTGGTGGTGTTAGTTATGGAAACCTGCTTGCAATTGATTGACTAGAGAATAGGAGGGCCGCTTTTTATAGGAACTTCCATGCATATGGAGCAGAAAAATGGGGTGGCCGAAGGGGGTTCTAAACTGAGAAATTTTTTATTAAGGTGGATGGCATGACAACATATTGATAAAATGATGGAGTGATTTAGTAGAAAAGAAAAGACTGATACTGTATTGAGAGGGGATGGACAGTTCATCCACAGGGATAGGAGGAAAGGCCATATTTGGGTACAGATATAGATTAATAGATGTAGTGGGAAGATTTGTTGGAGTTTGTTGTCTGATTTTTATTAGTGATGCGGGGTGCAGATCATCAGCTGAGACACAGGGAGGGGGGAGGTATCTAGGCTTTAGGATAGAAAAGGATACCTCTAGTCCATAGTAAATACTGACTTGTGTTCTTAAATTCTTACACTTAAGCTAAAAATACACAAAATCATCCCAAAGAAAAAGTCTATCTATTTTCCAGGGCTATTTTCTGGACATTTATGGGAAACTGAAATATTTGATCAAAAAAACTGCAAAACCATCAAATGGGTCAATCACTAATGTGGCCTTGAAATGTGGACTTGACATGTGAACTTTTTATATTTTATCAAGGGTGTAACTTTGCTTTGTGGTACTCACGTAGAAAATACATAATAGTGTTGCTCATTTACTGAGTTGAGCAGAAATCGGGCAGTTGTAAGTAAGGTCATATGAGATTGTATTATACATAGAACAAACACATCTTAATCTGACCCAAAGCCATATGGCCTGGCCAAAAAGGTGGGTTTTTCTTGTTTTCTTTTTGTTGTTGTTTTTCCCGAGTTTGAGGTTATGGATGACTTTTCCTCATCAAATTGGGTGCTGGGAAGTTATAGATGTCAAGCTGCAATTCTGTCTATGGATCTGCTGGATTGTTTCCCCCACCATTTCTTGTCTCATGTCATTCATCCTCTTGTTCTGTGTGCTCTACTTATGCTTACTTTATTTCCTCAAATATAAGTTTGGTCCTTTCTGGAACTTTACTTCCTATCTTGCTGTATATCCTTTAGATAGTAAGTAAATTATCATTTAGGGAAGCCTTTACTGTCCACCCCCATCCCCACTAGGTTAGTCTAACCCACTACACATTTTCCTGGTGCCCTGTTTTGTCTGCCCAGCATCAAAATTAGAATGGAATAATTACTTGGGAAATCACTTACGAAATGTCCAACTCCCCTGCTAGACCATGAGCCCTGTGAAAGTAGGCACGGTACCTGTCTTAGCAACTTGCCTGATATTTTATTAGTACCGAGTGCATATTTGTTCAGTGGATGAGCATCAAAGTATATGCATATAAATATGAAAAATATCCAACGTACTGCTGCTTTTGGGCCACTTTTTCAAGATATTAACACTGTTTCCACTCTGCATTTAGGTCCCTATGCAAATGTCACCTTCTCAGAGAAGCTTTCCACTGATAACTTACATATAAAAATGTTCTCTGTCATGTATTGCTTAATTCTGCTTTTAGTTTCATTAGATATCA